GGCTGAACAATTAAAAAATATGGTTAAAGATGATGATGATGATGATGAAAACGATGATGATGATGATCATTGTAGTAGTACACATTCAAGAAAATCACCAATACACATAACAGAAACAATGAAAAGTGAAAGTATTGCTACACTTCGTGCTAAAGCTCAAGAACATAATGCAAAAAAACAACGATAATAATTAATTGTTAATAATCGATATGCTCTTTTTTGTTGTTGTTGTTATAAATATATTGACTTTCGAGATTAAGCAAGAAAATAAACAAAAACGATTTTATTATTAACTCATCTTGAAATACTTTATTATAACGAATAATTTTCTTTTTTATCAAAGTCACAAAAGAAAACATTCTATTATGAATTTATGACACTTTGCAAAAGACAAAGCTGAATTGATTAGATTTCAAAAGTGAAAATAAAAATTTGTTAATATTGTAAACTAGAGTTAGGAGTTTTTGATGAATATTGGGTTTGAGTTAGTGAAGTTTTGTCAAGCAAGAGTATTCATAGATGAGATTTATTATTATCAATAGAAGATTATAGAAAATGTGCCGTTTTAACTGAGATAGAATGAATTTGCTTTTAATTTATTTTGTTTAAGCAATATATTCAACTGTTTTTCATGTTCACTTGTTAATAAACCTGCTTGTTTACTTTGAACAAGTGATGTTACACTCATTTAAATCATGAAAAGTTCATTTTTGTGCAATATCACACGAACAAGAATTTATCAATAATGTCAGTCATTTTTTCATTGTTGAATTTTTATCAGTATGATTTGTAACAACTTTATGTAGTAGGTATACATTCATCAAGAATAATAACATTGGAATTTTTGGGTGAACTAACATTAGATTGTTCTGTCCAAATTATGCAGTACGAAACACAACATATAGTCGGTGATACATGCATTCAGCCTTCATACTTGTATGTTTTTTTTGCTGTAACAAAATCTATACTATTTGTCATGATGGTCTAGAGACTGGTAGCTAGCTAGAAATTCATTCGAATTAAGTCAGAAAAATCAATATGTCGAGATGATACAAATGTTTTTGAATTTTCAATATCAGTTTCTGTTCATCTACAGTAAATTCCTCAAAACAGTGATTTTGACGAGTTGGCCTCGATCTTTTACTCCAAGATAACCCCCTTCTGTCAAATTAATAGCCCACTGCACTTCTATTTTGTTTTGAAAATTACAAGAGTGATGATGGGCTTCTGTTGCGATTACCTTTTTTTTCGTTTTGCACAGCAAAATTTGAATTGTAGTAAATGTATTAAAAGGTGTATATGATTGTATATATCCAGGAAGATTTCGAAGCAGCAAACCTTGGAGAAGTCGACGATGTTTTCGTAAATTTTTAAACGCTCTTACCTTGTTGCAAATAGTTCTGCAAAAAAAACGAAATTTTCAAAGATTGGAGTGATCTACATCCCCACTTGGAATATCTCTGTATATATCATGAATAACCATGTAGAAAAGAAAAAAAATTTCTTTTTACACGCAGAGTTATTGAAATATTACAGATAACGTACGAAGTTAATCAGTCCAACAAGAAAACTATTTACAGAACGAAAGAATTATATTGATGAGCACATCAGCATTTTATTTAAAACAGTGTACACGATCAATAAAATTATTTGCATTCTTGATTTCCTAATATGTACACATTTCGACCTCAGTGGACTTCTATTCTGGAGGGCGTACCTAGTTTTTCAGATCATCACTATATTGAAGATAATGCAGTTGGTCTGTTTACATCTTTAGATATACATGATAAATAGATTTTGTATATTAATCAGCTTATGCTGATATTCGAGGACGATTATAGAGCCGAACTTGAAAGAAAACTCATACACGATCAGTGTCTATTCCTTTGTTAAGGCGAATTTCAAAAGAAATCGGCAATCATTCAGAAGTCAACAAGACTAAGTCATAAACGATAGACAATGCATTTATTTTGCTTAAGATTTGTAAACAATAGGAGACGAATCTGAAACTTTCTGACAGAAATTTTCATCATAACCAACGATGATACCGTACGTAGCCCCGTATGGACGTACAAGATATATCGTTGTTTCTAAACAAAGAATCTGAAATACTAGAAGATGTTACGAAATACCATTTAGATATTAGTACAGTATCTTCTATTAACATAAATGAAAACAATCACAAAACATCATATTTAATTGGGAGATGGCCGATGCCTTCTACGAAAAAAGATCTTCATATACTATTTGAACTTTTTAAAGCTTCGGAAGTGATTTTAGACAAGAATGTCATCGAGAAGATCAATCCATAAGACCGAAAAGTATTGAACATTTATCATTCATAATTTCTCCAAATTAGAGACTGTTTTGTATCGTAAGATCATTGAGAAGAACATTCGACAGTGTGAGTGAGAGTTGATGGTATCATGACTAATGATTGATGAAATGCTAACAAATCATAATCAATATGTTAATCGTTGAGATAAGAAAAAAATTAAAAAGAAGAGATGGCTTCGAATGATTTTTGTCTTTTTAAAGATATTCATTGAAGGATTGATGACGATTAAGAACGATTTCCTCAATATGAGAGCAAAACTTATCAGCTACCAAAAAGGCAACAAATAAGTCTTTATTAAATGTTCTGAGTATAGAAAGATCATGGCATTGACTACGAACATTTAGTTTCATGATTAGATTACGCATCAAATGTAGCGAAGGCACAGTCTTAGTTCAAAGAGAACAGTTTGAAATCCATTTAATACAGTTTTCACTAGATCTATTGTTTCTAGAGTTTTATAACGTTTAAAGACAATTTTTGAATTTCAAAATGTACTCAGTAGAAAGGAACTACTTCAAACAATACAATGGCCAAAAAAAGGTAAGGTCACGAAAACGGTGGATATCCTCAAATGAAACTATCAAAAACTAAAAAGAATTTATTTATGAATTGTAACTAATAGTATTCTACTGAATAAAAAAAAACCACGTGATTACTCTTAGTGTTTTCATGTTATGTTTAAATGAAAATTGTTATTTCTTTTGAACTCGTGAACTTTCTCGCTGAATGGATTCTTATGAACTGTAAAATTTACTACATTATTGAAGATAGAAAATAGATTGAAAATGATCAAGGCAAAAAAAATAAACTTTGTCGATTCAATTCTGAAATAAAGTAGCATTTCTCAGATCGAATTATTCTATATTGTGTTCTTTTCAAATAAACTGTTTAAGATCCTTATGAATGTCATCAGATCCGATTGTTGAATGTAACTGTTAGAACTGTCAGCAAATTCATAAAGTATATTTTTGTCAAATCAATAATTTTATCGTTATTTTATAAAACTCAGCTGTATGTTTGGTAATCAATACATAAACAGATCGTTCCAAAAACGATTACAAAATTCGAATTTCAAACTCATAAACCGATGTTAACAGTTGCTAAAAAGATATGAGATATTCAAGATGTCTAGAAGTTCTTGTAATTTTCTCCTTGTCTATTATTGTAGAACATCATTATTACTCAATCATCACTCACAAAACAATAGTCTCAATATGTTAATACAAAATCTATAAAACAGAAATTCGTCATTAATTTTTTTTCTATTTATTGTTAACTGAATATTTCAACAAAATGTCATAAATGAGTTTTATTTAAGTTATATTTAATAAAATATAGAACTTAATGAAATGAAAATATAAACAAATTACATCTTTATCAACAAGATAAATACAAAACTGTATAAGAAAAAGAAAAAATTTGAATCACAGTTTTAGATTTTCAATAGCTTGACGAAAAATTTCATTGATATCCTAAACAACATTAAAGAATTAATTAAAGGGCAGAGATACTTAAACGCCATTGTTAACTCTTCTTTAGTTTTCTCTTCATGTATGACTTTTTCTTTTTCATACAGAATTTCATGAAGAACAGTTTGGGTAGCAGAATAAAGCTATTTATGAAACATCGAGACTCGCATTTGCTCAAAATATTGACATATACTTTTACACCATTAATTAGTAATTGATAGATAAGAGAGTGAGGCAAGCAAACTTTCCCTTAATACGATGCTTGGAATGTAAACCATATCAATCAAGTGCCCACCCACTCATCATCAAAAATATGAATTGATCAGTGTATGTTGCGAAGTTTTGTTTCAACTTTTCTTTTCTCAAAAAATTCACCTAAAAACTCCTCAGGGCTCAATCAAAGAATGAACTTAACTAATGCACCTTGTTTTTATTGTTTAGTTGTCTGCACTTTTGAGTTTGGCTACCGTTTTACAAACTCAGTACTTGTTTTTTTACTGTACAAGTGATTTTTTTAATTGAATTTATTTTTTTTTGACTGAGCTCTAAGAAGTCTCTAGGTACATAATTTAAGAAAAAAAAAAGTTCGATGCAAAACTGCGGAACATATAGCGATCAACTCAATCTTTTGTGATGATTTCAAAAGTGTTATTAATTTTATGTTGAATTACTCTATAGACAATGAAAATCTGTTAGCGTTAATTGCCAAAAAATTGTATTTAAACGAAATTTAAGTTTTCTTATCTAACAAAGTTCACGTATGAAAAAAGCTCAAAATTATATTTTTGTCTGTTCTTTCCTTCGAATTATCAGAACTAATCAAACGTTCATGTGTTTCTTTTCATTTCTCGAAATATTTAAAAACCAACATGTACAAATGACAATATATGCAAATGATTATGATGCTCGTATGGGCTAAAATTTTCATTAAAGATAGACTATAAGATGGGTACTTGATTGACATAATTTTAGGTTTCAGATGTCTTACGATGAGAAAGTTTGCATTCCTCACTATTTCATCTCTGAATCATCGATCAATGATGTAAAGGTATACGCCAATATTTTGAGCAAATATAGCTCTATAATGTGGTTTTATTTCGTTATACAAACGATGCAATTCTGTATGAAACAAATCATACATGGAGAGAACTGAAAGGAGATTAGTAATGGTTCTTGTTTTCTGATATATAAATTCAATTATTTACCGATGGTTTACATGAATCTTCAACCCATCGAAGAATTGTTGATGCAAATTGAGAAAAACTTATGGTTTGTCCTGTTTGTATAGCTTGATCAAAACTAATAAAAATTGCATCAGTAATATTTTGAAACTATAAATGAAATAAAAACAAAAAAATTCTGTTGTGATTTTAAAAATATACATCATAATGTACCAATTTAAACTTTAGTTCATCATTAATTGATGCATTTGCATATTTTTTTGAATTTGTATTCATTTCAAGAATATCTTCATATGTTCTATTTTATCAATAATATAAAATAAACATCAAAATAACGAAAAAGACAAATTCACAAACTTTTGAACAGTACGTAAACAAAATATTTCTTTTTTCTTTATTTCAAGTTGATTATTTAATTGTTGTTTTTCTTTATTTAATTGAATGAGGTAATCCATAGCTAGAAAACAGAAAGATTAGAAGATATTTGGTAATTAATTTTTTTTTTTTTATAATTTACATCGTTTAAGTATCGCTGCTTTACTAACTTTTTGTGAACTAACTGGATCAAGTAAATGACTATCTGGTACAAGACTTTGTAATGAATCAAATCCTTTCTAAACAAAACAAAAAAAAAGAAACTTTATTTTGCAAATATTTGTGTTTTTGCTTTTAATTGTTTTATGTACACGAATAGCATTTCGACGTTTTTGTTCAGCAGCTATATGAGCAACTCGTCTTCGACTATCATCTCGTTTTGTTCCCGTGCTATTCTTCGATGTAATAGATCCTGTATTTGAATCACTATCGTTATCGTCATCATCATTGTCTGCGTTTATTTTATAGAATATTTCTGTGATATTTAACAGATAATATGAACAAACCAGTATGAACAGGTGAAACAAATGGTTCAGTGAAATGACGTTTTTTAAATGGTGATCCACGTTGATCTGAATCAGATCGAGTACGTTTTAATTGATTTTTATCGACATAAAATTGATCTGCTAAAGGATTATACAATCGTCACTTATTAAACAATAGGGATAGAATATAAGTAATTACTTTCACTAAATTGCGGAGTACTTGGTTGATCAATCTTTAATGATATACACAAAGTAAATAAATCAAAAAGATCAATATGAAACTATACTTGTAGACCAGATTTTGTTATTTGATTGACGTCTTGTTGACGTTGCCAATAATTTATTTTATCTTTCGTTGATGATATATCCATATAATCTAGAACATACATAAGTCAACAATTTTCAAATTCAATTAAGAAACATATCGATAGAGAAATCTGCATATCTAACTAATTTACTCATTCACATAATCGAACAAATAATGAAAATAACTATAGTTATGAGTCAACTTGTTGCTTAACATGCCTATACATCAAATCAACTTCTTGATAAACAGAAAACTACAAAACACTGAAAAATGAAGTCATTATTCATGTTTGAGTAAATTCTATTTGCATAAATTTACACATTTAATCTGTTTTTATCACATTTATTATCATGAAAAGAATATTTTCAACTCTATATAATCTAATAAAAATAACTTTTAAAACACTTTTCAATCATATCATGAATAAGAATTTGATGTAATTCATCACAAACTTTAAATACAATTTGGTTGAAAAAATTATGAATTATCTAAAATTATTTTTATGATAGAGAACAAATGAATTAATAAGAGATTTATAATTATCTCATAGCACTTTACAATGTAAAATTGATTATTTCAAAATATGAAACTTATTCTAATTTAGTTATTTTCAATAAGATGTTGTAATTTCATTTGATACATTGCAAGCAAACTCAAATCTTGTTGTTTTAGAATATAATTTTATTGCTAGACATTATACTTATTGTGTACTTTCTATCGAACTAAATCTCATCAAATTTATTATTCTAGTTGAATTTTTTTTCTTATTTTAACTTGTCTTGTAAGACAACAAAAAAAAATATTTCTTGTCTAGAAAAATTAATTTTATTGAATGAAATAAATAAGAACAAAACAAACAGACTTTGTCACAATTACATATATTCGAAATAATCATATTTGATAAATTGTTTTGTTGATGTTGACGTTGAAAAAAAAACATGAGTTGTACAAAAAGATTCAAAATTCGACCTGATTTTTTTCATTCTTCATACATGGTTATATAGAGTTGGATAAGCTGAGTAAGAATATGTATTTTATTTTTTTTTTTTCATGAAAGATTTTCGATTTAAAAAAAACAAACAAGTTTTTGCGATAGTTTTGAATTTTTCTTCTAAACGTATGTTTTTCATATTAAAGTACTGATATGTTTAGATTTGCTATGAATAACTGAGGCTGTAAGACTAACTTTAAAATTAATCTCACAGACTAAGATTTTCATGTCGAATTTAAATATGTCAGTTTTAGAAATCATATGAAATTGAAAGCTTCTTAAATCACAACAATTGATTAGCTTTTTAATGTGAAAAACATAGTTGCAGAAAAGAAATGAAGCATTCAGAACTGTTTCAAAAATTCGTTTGTTTTAATCAAAAGGCTTTTCAAAAAAATAATCAAATATATATTCAACGTCCGATCATCAAACTCTATCTTACCATATATGAAAGAAAACGAAAAAAACAAAATTACCTGAAATTATCTGTTTATTTCACCTTGTGTTTCTTTCAACTTTCTAGGTACATTACTCTCTTTTGATATTGATGAATTGATATTTTAACATTTCAATATTGTCATTTGTCATTGAAAATCGAAATCTTAAAAGAAAAAATTATTTTATTCAATTATTAATTATAATTTTCATTAAACGAAAAACAAAAAAAAATCGATATTTTGTAGTCATATGTACATTGAGCGAGCTGAAACGATAAAATACAATAGTATTGGTTGTTCAAGAAACTTCCTGCAGATGACTCTATTGATCTATAATCAACATTTACTATTTGAAATTTGATCATACTCTTTCGAGAATATGCCTTGAAAAGAATTAGTCAAATCCATAGGATTTTTTTTATACATGTTAATCGATGTCATGACTTTGACAGATGCGTGTAAAATATAAAATACTTTTCTTTTATTAGTACCTCATAAACTGTTCAAGTATATAAAGAATACCTATTGAATGACTATGACTACCTTTGCCAAAAAGCTTTTGTCATTTTAATATTATACTTCGACATAACAAATATTTCTTCATGTCTAATGTAGAATTTCATCTATATTTTTTTCTATAATTCCTATGTGCTATGACGTTATCATTATTGGAACTATGACTAGTGAAAATCATTGAGAATATTCATTTTGTCGTTTATTCTTCATATTTAGATTCTTGTATTAATTCAGTATTTTTTTTTCATATAATAATGTTTTATAACAATACACATAACTATATACTAATTAAAGTATTATCGATTTTGATAATATTATGATGCAATGATCATAAATGAAACTTGATAAAAAAAAAAGGACACAAAGTATCACATAGAGTAACAATATCACGACTCACTCAATACGTTCATTTTTCTCTTTTAAAATAATTAATATTAATTTAATAATCACAATAGAATCAAAAGTACTTACATATGCTATTCAATATTGTATGATAGATAAACAATAAAATAATAAATTAACATATTTTACCCAGTGATTGTTATCAGTCAGAAGTTTTGTTCTATATCACAACTGACATCTTTTTATTTTGGACTATATATTTCATCCATGATTCAATCCATCATTTTCGTATGCCAATTTTCAATGTACGTCAAAATCTTACTTCAAAAACTAATTAGAAAAAAAAAACAGAAAGAAACGTCTATTTCCTTGATTTTTGTCAATAATATTCTTATAAAATATACAACATAGATATGAGAATTGATGAAGAACACTATGTCTTTCTACACATATGATTCTTTTGAATAGCTTATATGTATTAATAACTAAAAATAGTGGGTTGTAAGACAGGTAAAAAAATTACTCATCGAATAACATGGTTACTGAAAATAACAATAATATGTATACAATAAAAAAGACATTCACTTTCTGCATGTTTCTGCCTATTTAATTTTTTCTTTTCGTTTTTTATTATGAAACTTTTTTTTTTCTCATGTTCTTTGATTCGTACCATACTTTGATTTATTATTGTCACCGCTCAACAACTGTGTACAGAAAGAAAATGTGTATTGCACTTGGCGTGTTTGCATTGCTTACTGGAGAGAAAAAAAAAAAAAAAAATTACTTTTTTTTTTTTTTTTTTTTTTTCTTTCGGTTTTTTTTTTCTTTGAGATTTTAACCATCTCCTCAATTTTTAATTGACTCTATGACAAAAAAAAAAATCGTAAAGCGCCTACTAGAAGCATATCAACTTTTACGCCTATTAGAAAAGGTTATTCGATACTCACTCTTGTCATATCCATCTAATCTTACATATCATAAGTAAATTATAAGTTATACCAATATATTCGTTTTTTTATAAGAAAATAACTATTGAACAATAATTAAAGCAATACAAATGAACTGAAACCAAAAATGATTAATTACAATATTGCAATAAAGGTATTATAGATGATAAAGAAAAACTTCTTTTTTTTTTTTGATAAAAAACAGTTGATAATTTAGTCTGAGAATTCAAAGAACAATAGATCGATTTTTATATGGACATATGTAGGAAAAAATTTGAAAATATTTTTTCTAAGCAATGAAAACATTGAATACGTAAACATTTTGTTTATTTTCACATGTTAATTAACGAATTGCGAAGTTTTTTTTTGTTATACACTTGGAACTATAACTAACTAATACGAAAATATATTTTAGAGTAGATTTTGTTCTTCATTGTGTTGACAAATGTATTAACTATTTTCATGTAATGATCTCTGCAAAAAAAGAAAATATTCACTTTCTTACTCTCATAACGGTTTCCACTCGAAGTAATAGAAAAAGACAAACATTGACGAGACATGCCATAAGGTCTACTTATACGTTTGCTTTTCGATTCAATGCATTTTATTTGTTTATTTAGGATACTATTTCGTTTGAAAATAACCTTTAGTATAAAATAAAAGTAATGGCTCATCGAGATGATCAACATTATCATCATAAAATTCATTATGCATCTATTTTACCATCGAATACAAATGGTAATAATCATAATGAATCACATATTGTTAGTCGAAGATCAAGTGAACATGAACGAACGAAAGCGGTATGATAATTATTCAATATTTGAATTATTTGAATATGTTTTCATTTAGCTTTATCTAGATTTTGAAGGTGCATTTCAAGATGAAACAATAAATCATGATTATTTTGGTTTTCAATCATCTGAACATATTCAACAAAATTCTCATCCATTAGCTAATTTTCATCTTCAATCTGTTGAAACAATATCTGAAGTTAAAAATACAAATTTTTCACCTTATCTTCGTTATCAAGTTTCACGTGAAACTAGTCATTCATCAACACCATCGGATACACCACCTTTTCAAACACGATATAATCATCGTTCGAATCCTTCTCCACTTCTTCCATCATCTTATCATCATCATTTATCTAATTCAAATAATCATGAAAATCTTCATCAAGATTTTACAAATTTGAAAATAATATCTTCGAATAGTAACAATGATTTACCAGCACCATTCAGTCCTGATGCTATTCGATTAAAAATAAAACAACAGGAAATAAATCCTAATTCATCTTCACAATCAAAATTAACATTACCGCAATATTTTCTTGTCAAATATTTAGGTCGAACACCATGTGCTCAATTATGGGGTGCAAAAGCAGTACGTAATCCTATTGATGATATGGTACGTGGTGCTCGACAATTATCATCTATGAATGAAATTCCAACATTAGAAGCGTGTGTTAATAAACATGGTCTTGCATTAACACATAGAAATTCTCCAACACGTAGTAAACATCATCATTCACGTAATCAAAGTCCCGAACGACATCAACATGGTCTTATTCCTCTCGATAATATTTCTTATGCTATGCATGATATTAAATATGCTAAAGTAGCATCTTGTATTGTATTACGTCAATCAAAAACATCATCTACTAATAATAAGAATACAAGTGAAACATTAACTGAATGTTATGCATTCTTATTTCAATCAAAAGAATATGCACATAGATTTGCTCTTGCTCTTGCAGAAGCATTTAATACACAAAAACAATCAACAAGAATTTCAAGACAAAATCATGATGAAAAAAGAGAAGGACGTTCACCTCAACGTCGTTCAAGACATCGAAGTGTTCATCATCATGATAGAATACGTACTAGTGGCAAATATGATGATAATTATTTAGAAGATGCAGAAGTGTGATAAAATAAGCAAAATTTTTCTTTATTTTAATTTAGTCTTTCATTTACCAGTGACCCCAAGAAATTTATGTAGGTCATGAGGAACGAAAAAAAAACAAAGATTTTGTAATAATGTAAATTATAATATTGTTTTATTTTAAAATCAAAGAATTTTTTTTTTTTTTATATAGGTTTTTTGTTTCTTCTATTTTTTTTTTCAATAAAAGATCCTGTTCATATCAATAAAGTTATATCTAACTTCAGACTATTCAATTGAATATTTGTGACAAGATATGTACTAATTTTTGATTTGTCGAGGTACAATATAATAAATTGGAGAAACACTTGAAATTTGCATTTAGACGAAAGAAAAAAGAAACAGGACTTAAATGTATTTAAGAGCACGTGCTTTTTTTCCACCTTAAACTCATTTATTGGTTTCATTTTAATGTATGTCATATATCTGAAATACCTTATTTACACTTTTTTCCTTCAGTAATCATACGTTATGTTATCTTAAACGTTCTTTGTTTATTGTTTATTAAAACCATGCATGACTCTGTCAACGTAGCATGCAAATTTTACATGTGTTTAATATTTACTGATTGCTTTAGTGTTCTAGTATGACTTGAAAATGTTTATAAATGAAATAATATTTAGAATTAAAAGAGAATACAACTATTTGAGATATAAATAATAAGTACAAATAAAATCAATGAAGTACGCATGTTTAATCAGATAATTTTATAATTTAGGATTCAGATATTTCCAATCTATTCGGATGTCAAAATAGATATTAAATAAGTGTTTGTAGAGTTCAAGCAATAAAATATTATAAGGTTTATTATTATTATGATCGGATAATATTAAATGATATCTGGTGAGTTGTAAGTCTTTTGAAGTTTCTTTTATGATCTATATATTAATATATCTTATTTGTTTTTTTTTTACTCTAACCCGTTTTCTAGCTATTAACTATACATTAATCAAGAATATATTACTGGAACCAAGTGTGGTGAAGAGGAGCTATTCTTCTTCAAAAGAATTCGAGCCCTTCTGTCTTGGATCCAAATGATCTATCATTAATACTGAAAATAGACTATTACTCTGTACGGATACGAATTTCTGCTATCGGATCCGTACCGGTTGTATTTTTGTTAGTCAAGCTCGAACGGAATCCGAATCGAGCCTAATCAATATCAGACAGATACTCTTAAATTTATATGAGAAAGTATACTGTTCAGTTTCTGTCGATAAACAACAACGAAAAGAAGAGGTCATCTCAAGTTCCACAAAAAAAAACAAGTGATTTTCATTTGGTCTCTTTCTACTTTTAAAACCTGATCAATTTTTGCTAAGTACACAATTGCTTGTTGGTCATAATGTTAGGATGAAATACAGGGTTGATGTCAAACGTCATAACTGTGAATATATAGACGAATGCTCTTTTTATCAGGATAATGTATTTTCCTCTTCATGTATTCAGTGACTTTGTCCTATCGTGTATTAATCATTGGTAGACAAGTTTTCATTAAAAAATAGACTATTCAGTGTATTAGAAAGCTGTTCTTGTTTCGTCTTTTGTATTGTCGATGAAAATAATTGAACTTGAATATTTTTTTTTCTGCCTCAGTGTCTTCTAAGAAAAAAAAAAGAAGTTAAATAACGTGTTTTGAGTAAAATATCAAGTTAGAGTTAAAATCTTCAAAAACCATCTATTCTTAATCTAATTGTTTGCAGTGGAAGAAAAAGAAATAACTTCAATTGTTCTCTAATAGATAAAATTTTCTTATTTTACCGATTATATCGATATCGAAAAACAGAGATAGTTTTAAAAAATACATAATTAGATGTAAAATTGAACGGGCTACATTTTTTCTATGAACAAATTTTGAAAAATTATTACTTTTAATACTGTATTATTATTAATTATTAATTAGATAAATGTTTTGTTATAAATTTTGGTCTTTAAGTATGCCGTTCGAAAGAGAATGGTAAAACTGAATAACACTGTCTATCTTTGTTTTGCAGAAACTCCTTATAATAAAATATTTTCTAAGCATTAATTGATACTTGATTAATAATTGAGAGAATCCGACTGTAAGCATAGACTTCAAAGCTTTATACAAAATGATGCATTTTGTGAAGTAGATTTCAATTTATCAAATGAGATCTTACATTCTTATTTGAAATGTGATCCAAGTTGTATGTATAGACAAGATGGTTTCGGATCCAAGTGTTTTTTAACTGAGGCCGAGACCAAAAAACATTGATCTCACTCACTACTAGATATAGTACTCTGAAATTATTAAGGTATGGAGCAAGCAAAAAACAGTTGAAAATCATCGTTGAAATCACTGATTAAAACGATGAAAGGATTGTATCAGACGATGAATACATTGTAGAGAACAATGTTGAATCTCATTTGATAAAAGAAAATCTACTCTACCAATTGCATCATTTTTTTAAAGTTTTGAATTCTATACTGAGAATTCATTTTGGTTAATTATTAATAGAATATTAGTTCAATTTTAATTAGCTGTAAAACAAAAACTCTGTAATAAAGAGTTATTTTGTTTTCAATGCTCCTTCGTACAGTATACTTGAAAATAGAAATTTATTATTAAAGCATTTTCTCTAGTTTTGAATAGATGAAGTAAAGAACTTCTACGAAGATCATTTATTACAATATTACTTAACAAGTAACCACAATACCTCTACAAGCTTCCGTACTTAAGTTAAGTTTATTATCCGGCATATGAATCGATGTTTATTGTGAAAGTTTGTTATACAATGTTCTTTGTTATTCATCTAATTGTTGATTGTTATCGATCTCGTTTTCAATACAAGGATCGAAATTGGAAATTACATCGGTAACAATGAGCGATTAGACGAATAATACAGAACATGATATAATAAACTTTCACAATAAACAACGATTCATATGCCTGATGATAAACGTAGCTTCAGTACGAAAGCTTGCACTTGTATTGTAGTTGCTTGTCAAGTAATATTACAATAAATGATTTTCCTAGCTATTCTTTACTTCATCTATTGAGAATGAAAACTTCCTGTTTCAACGAACAGTTTACTAATTTCTCTAATTATTAATTAATAATGTTGAAATTATTCTAACTGATCATTTTTCAAATTTTTTCATACTAAAATATAGCTCGTTCAATTCTGCAACTAATGGTATATTTTCGAAAACTATTTTTATTCTTCAGTAACAATATAATTACAAAAATATGAAAAGTTTCATGAAATTTTGCCCATTGGAGAAAAGTTAAAGTTGTTGCTTTTTGTTCATCACATTACAAACAATCAGATTAAGAATAGATGGATTTGTGACTACCGTGAATCTAATTTTATATGTCACTCAAAATATGTCGTTTGATTTCTTTCTTTTAAAACAAGTCACCGAAGTAAAAAGTATCTTAATCTTTTTTAGTTTACTTTAATGTTGGATTCATATGACTTGAAGGCTAAAGAATCACAGAAATTCATGTTCGTATTATTATTTTTCGGATTCTACTTTCACGATATGTGCTACATCGATGATACTCCATATAGTTTATTGATATGTTTGTTTCTCTCATGATATTAATTCAAAAGTAAATCTGAGTCGAAAATTAAGAATGAATGAGATTTTGAAATAACAGATATAATGCAGTAAAACTCTATTGACTTTTTTTTCTAATATTGAAACTTGTCTTAATATGTAATATATTATTTTTAAGAGTTGTATCTTCTATAATTGATATATCATGTTTGGAGCTCTTGTCATCTGATAAATGAACAATCATATATATTGAATTAGATAAAATCAATATTAATTATCATTTCTAAAATACTGATTTTAATTAGTAAAATTAAAAATAAACAGCGTTTTAAATTAAGTCAAAAAATTTTTTTTTTGAGATGTTTTTGTTGAGATAAACTTATTATTATATTTAATCATAGATCAATAAATATACAAGAAAAAAAACTTGTTAAATATTCTTTCGTTTTGACAGTTGAAATTTTCGAAATTCAAAATTCGAACTTGATTTTATTTTTCTTAATGAATTAAATAATAATGAGATTTTTGTCTATTTGAATTTATTTCATAAATAATTAAAGATCTAAACTGTTAATTTATCTAATAGATAATTTGAATAAATTATTAATCAATCTTATTTTTGATATTGATTATAAAAATCAATAGACCATGACCATGTGTGTGAAAAGAAAAGTTCGATGATCTTATCTGAACTCTTTGTTTTATTAAAACTTATTAAAGATTCTCTTTTTATATTGTAGTTTTCTTACTCTTTTGTTTTTGTCGCTTATTTGCCTGATTTTAGTGTTCGTACGTAAAAAAAGATTTTGCCGCTAGGCTGAATGTTAGTAATGCTAGTGTAAGAAGAGGGGAAGAGCATCAGAAAGATAGAGAGAGAGAGAGAGAGAGAGAAGTAGAGACAGAGGAAAAGACAATTGTTCAAGACACAAAGCAAAGAGCGAATCTTATCTTCCGATCAATTGTTCCAAAGTATCTACTCATCTTTTCTCGTTGCTCTCGTCAACTTAGTTGTCGTCATTCGTAGACACTCACAAAAATAGTGAAAAAAAGGGAGGGAAGAGAAAAAAGAATGATAAGAAAAGAGCAAGCGTGCGATAAAAAAATGCAATTTTCCTTATGTGTATTAGCATTAGAAAAGAGAGAGGATGATCCGATCGTAAATTCACATCTCATCGTGTCGCGCGCGATCGAGATGGAACGCGTGTGTGCGCACAAAAAGGAATACTAATAAAATATTTCTGTCTTTTCCGTTCTCTCTAGTTCTTTCTCTTTGAATCTAATGATAGATGCATCTCTCTCCTTCGTGTGTAGTGTATTAGCTCAAGGACTATGAATACTAGTAAAGAAACGAAAGACTTCAAATGCAAAGCGGTCCAATGTGTATGTTGTGTATGCTCTGCAGTCATAAATAATAATTTGAACAAAAAAGAGAAAGAGAGAGAGAGAAATAGATGTTGCGTGCTAAGTTATCTACTCAGAATGTAACGGCAAAATTGAACAACAATAGTAATCTTTCTCTAAACGCTTCGACTTTGTTTTATGCATTAGGTATATATAAGTGTGTGTTTGCATTTTAGATGATTTGACACATCATCAACATCATGATAATTTCTATCACCCTTGTGTCTCGTTACACTTAGTTCGTTGACACTTTTTGTTTTCTATTATATTCGCTAGTCGATTATAACACTAGTCCCTTTCCCGGTTGCGCAGTGACGGCGCATGGATGGGTAATTTTCATCATAAGGCGCTGATGATCTCTGCTTCGGGCAGTGCCTATACTGCGCCTGCACTTATGACCATTTGTTTACTTACTGATTATTGGATATATGGAAACCAAACAAGATTACCACAAAATCAAATACTAAAAGCAGGCGATACAAAAATTGTAAATGTTACTTATCATCGTATTGGTCTTTGGCGAGAATGTATGAGAGAAACAATAGATATTCCATATACATGTGAGATTGTTAAATATTCAAAAACAGAAGCAAAATTAGAAAAAGGTTTTAAAGCTGTATCATGTAAGATTTTTTTTAGTTTTATGGTTCCTTTTTTTTTATTTTGTAATTGAATTCAAATATAAGTTTTCTTTTTCATTTCGTTTGACTTTAAATTAGATCGATCAGCACCTAGTATGGCTTGTTTTACAGCTGCCTCTGCTCTTTTAATATTGGCTATTCTTTTGTTTACTCGTGGTCTTTGTAAACGACGTCGAAAAGCTGTTTTTTTCATCTCAGGACTGTTATTTTCTATCTCAGGTGAAATTGAAAACATATTTGATTCTTTTTTTTTTTGGTATGGTTTTATTTTAATACATAGGTTTGCTAACAATGGTTGGTGTTACTTTATACGTTTCAATTACAACTGAAGAATCGGTTAAAACTGATCAAGATTTTCAGGGGATGGCATGTTCCTATGGATATTCATTCCTATGCGCTGTTTTATCATTTGTTTTACAAGAATTAACTGGTGTTTTAACTGTTTATTGGTTTATTTATCGTTTTCGTGCACTTGTACGTAAACAAGAAAAATTACGTGAACGAACTCGTCAACTTATGGGTAATTGTTTATCAATGACAACTGCATTACCATTAAATCTTGCTTCACTATCTCCAACAAGTAATAATACAGAATCGATAACAAATCGTCCAAATCAAAATCATGTACTTTATCAACATGCATCAAATGATGTATCAAATCCTTTAATGAATAAACAACACCAACAACAACAAAGAAGACGTATACCATTTGATACATCGTATTCATCACAGCCATTACAGCTAATAGATAAAATAAATTATGCAACAATTGTACCAATACGATCACCGACACTTACTTATGGAGATTATTGTCGTGTATTAATTCGTGCTGAAGATATGGATTTGCTTACACAAATGGTCAAATCAAAATCTCAAGCACAATTATTAGCTAATTCAAGACCAACAACACCCGCTCCCACAATAAATACTAAAATCTCAGCAAATTCACATCTATCACGACAAATTAATGATAGTACAACACGACGAAATGCAAGAAAAGGCGTTAAACGAACTACATCTGTTTAATATCATTTTTTGTCTTTCTTTTAGCAAGATTCTTTTTTTTTCTTCTTTTTATTAGCTGTTATTCTCTATTTCGTGACTACTATTTAATTTTCAATGAAAAAAAAAAACACATACACATACACATATATAAAAATCCATGTGCCTTTAATCTTCAGAATATTTTTTTTATAGTCACTCGAGGTATTCGTAAAGAGTTTTATTTAAACATCGTTGAAAAGAATTTTCTTTTTTTCAATCGACTGAAAACTAAAGGATTACATATATTTAGATGTTATTCATTTACCTATACTTGAAGACTTGAGCAAATATTCTGAGTCTGTTGTGAATATACCGCCTACTCTACCATGTGGTGCCTCTATTTCATTTGTGAATCAACAGAATCATTTTCTTCACGTTTTTCTTTTTGTCTCGATGATATGGTGTTGTTGAGTTTGCCAAAAATGAATACATGCACTGTGGTTGGCATGACTCTGTATTACACAAAGACACATCAACACGTCCTTCTACTTTTATTCTCTTATTTTTTTTTCATTTGGCATCGCCGATCACAAACATACGCATACACACACACACACACACACTCTTGAGTGGTTGAAGCAGAAGCAGAAGAAAAAAAAAGAAACTTTTCGGATTAATAGAAAGGTATACAGAATCACGCTGCAAAAAAAAATATAAAAAGGTAATGGTAACGAAAACATTGATCAAGTCGAACGAGCGAGAGAAGAAATATATGAATATGAATTATAAATTAGCTTGTCAGATTTCTATGCAACTTATTTATTTGTTTTCATCGTTTTCAGATATATTTTTTTTAATATTATGGCATATACAACTACAAGTTCACATCAACGAACAATATACTCAGATGGCTCTCGAGATAATTTTCAACATCAAAAACCAACATATTCACAACAACAACCATCATATTCACATGCACAAGAACGTCATATTTATGATGAACAACCATATTATATCAATGAACAAACTATTTCAGGACACAATATCGATGGAGATAATCGACGAAGTGGACGGGTTTGTCATACGTTTTTTTTTTCTTTTTTTTTTTTACGCAGGTATAATTCTCAATCACGAGATATATAAACTGTGGTTGCCTTCTTTTTGACATTTTCTAAAAATATTGAATAATAACTAAATTTTTCGAAAATCTAATTATTTCAAATAATTACAATATTAATTTTTGTCAAAGGTTCAATACCATGTCAAGCTGAACGTAGGTATCAAAAAAAAAAAAAAAAAAAAAAAAAAAACACTCATAGTTCATCATTTCATCGATAACCTATATGCACGTATTCATTTAATATTAAAAGCAGCTTTGGGTGCATAGCTTTCAAAAACATTCAATATGCTTGCAATCAAGAAAAAGAAAACATATTGGAATTGATTCAAAATAATTATTTTTCGTCTTATTCAGTTTTCCAAATAATTATTCAGTGCTTAATCCAAATTTTATCGATAATCATTCTTAAATATTATTCGAAAAGAACAGCATACGAAAATACTTATCGATTAATATTCAATATTGACACATATTCATACATATACCTCTATTCCTCTTCATACCGAGAACACGCAAACCACAAAACAGGATTTATATACACCTTTTCTTTTTGATGCTTCTCTCAATATTTGACACTGAGACAACATACAAGAATAAATAGATTGTCCTCAATGCAAACACGTCGTTATAACACTCATCATCGGAATATTTGATACCACTCAAGTTTCCCCTACTGATGATATCGTAATGTTCATTCTTTTTTTTCTTGATCGATATATTATGTATGAATATACTCTTATGAAGTGGATCTTTCCATTTATTTTTCTTTTTCATAATTCAAACAATCATTAAAGAAAAGAATCGCTTAAACTTCTTCCGATTACACATATACACAATGTCTTGAAGTATATATGTATGTTATTCTTCTTGCATTCATATAGCTTCAAGTGACTACTGGTGATATTTCTGCAATATTAACGCATATATACAAATATAAACGAAATATTATTTTCGAGTGCCGACAAAATATATCCAAACTAATAGAAAGAAATTGTTACTGCCCATATGTTTTCTTTCTGTCTTAAAAATAAGAGTTCGTCATACCAAACATAATATGAATGTGTAAGGGAGATGTAAGATCATTATAAAGACTTAACATATCCTTTATGCTTCTACTTATTTTGTTGTTCTCTTCTAGGCTACATGCTTCTGTGTCCTGTTTGCATATAACTATTCTGTTACTCACTCTCTTTCTCTGTGTGTTTCTACCTATATATATTCTTCGCTTAATTTTTTCTCTCTTCCTTTCATCTAGCTCTTCTCGTTTGCTTGTTCGTTCAATAAAACTTTTGAAAGAAAAACGGACAAAGAAAACAGAAAGAGAAAAAGAAGTACACATAGATCAATATCTCGTTTTCTTCTACGCGAGAATTATTGATAGAGTGATTGTGTAGATGAGATGCGCTTATTATCACCATCATTATTATTATTATCTCACTATTGCTTTTGGTTTAAATTAATTTTATAACAAGAAAATAAAAAATGGAAGACGAATTAGTGCATGTGAGTGTTTATAATATATATGGATTGAAATAAGGATTTAATATTTCTATGTAATAGAAAACATATATATGTATATATATATCATTTTTTAGGTAACATATAATAGTGGTGATGGTGATTTTAATCGACCAACAAATACAAGAATTACTAATGGTTATACATCGCATCAACATGATTCATATAGTGGTGGTGCTGATCGAGAAAAACTTCATTGCTATAATTGTGATCGAAACTTATCTGGTTCACGATATATACTTAAAGATGAACGTCCTTATTGTATTAAATGTTATGAAGATCGTTTTTCTAATACATGTGATGAATGTCGAAGAAAAATTGGTACCGATTCAAAAGTTAGTAAAAATACAGATAAACAATATGAAAAATAATGAGATATTTTTCTTTGGATGTTTTTTAAAGGATCTTTCATATAAAGATCGTCATTGGCATGAAAAATGTTTTTTTTGTTCAATGTGTAGAACACCGCTCGTTGATAAACCATTTGCTTGTGTAAATGAAAAACTTTATTGTGGAGAATGTTATAATCAACAATTTGCTACACGTTGTGATAAATGTCATCAAATATTTAGACCAGGTTAGGGAAAACAAAAAAAAACATTTTATTTAGTTATATGAATATTAAATTAAAATAAATCTCTATTAAGGCTCTAAAAAACTTGAATATCATGGACAACAATTTCATGAACATTGCTTTACTTGTTATTCATGTTCACAACCTATCGGTACAAAAAGTTTTATTCCAAGAGATCAAAAAAGTTATTGTATTCCATGTTATGAACAACACTTTGCAACCAAATGTACTCGTTGTCTTAAGGTATATACATTTATACATATATATGTTTTTTATTTAAATGTTTTCAATAAATCTAATATTTCTTTTAATTTTCTCTTTAAATCTCTAGGTGATAAACCAAGGTGGTGTTACATACAAAAATCAACCATGGTATAATTATAATTTTATTTTAATTAATAATATTTTTTTCTTAGGCATCGTGAATGTTTTACATGTACGAATTGTAAAAATTCTTTAGCTTCACAACGATTTACATCACGTGATGATCATCCTTATTGTGTCGATTGTTTTGGTCGACTTTTTGCTAAAAAATGTTTTGCATGTACTAAACCAATAACTGGTAAATGAAAAGAAATAAATGTAAGATTAAAAATATATTAATTTTGTTTTTGTTCAATAGGTGTTGGTGGTACACGTTATATCTCGTTTGAAGATCGTCATTGGCATAATGATTGCTTTGTATGTCAACGTTGTCGAACTTCACTTGTTGGTCGTGGTTTTCTTACTGAAGGACCTAATATTCTTTGTCCTGATTGCGGTAAACGAGAACATTATTATGAAAGAGAAAGAGAAAATAATGAGTATACACCTGCACTTCGTACTGTTATTAGTTATCACCATAGAACAAATTAAAAAAAAAAGATACGTGTGTTTTTTTTCTTAAAAGTACACTTTCGTGATGAAAAGAAAAACAAAACTTAGTGATCTTTTTTTCTTCTTTAATGATTGATAAACTAATAAATTCGCTTATTCCAATGAAAATAACAAAAAAAAAAGAAAGCTAACATTAAACTCTTTAATTTTTTAATTTTTCTTTTTTTATTTTCATTGTATTATGTCTAGTTTTTTTTTTCTTGCTTTTACCCTTTTTTATTCTCTTATTTGGTTCTTCCTTTTTTTTTTTTTTCGATAAAGAATAGATAAAACAAATTGTGCGTATATTATATTATTCATAATGACTCTCTCTATACATGCGCGACTCTTTTAGTAATTTAATAGAGATCTGACTGAGACTTTAATAACTATAAATCTGACGTCATTTAAAAATTGAATATAATCATAAAGAAAAACAAAAATTAAGCCGTGAGTTTTTTTTTTGCATGAGTATTTATTGCATGACAAAGCAATTTATTTGTATGTTGTTGAAGTGATTCAAAAGCAGCGGGAGTATTATGAATCTTTTTCTTCTTTTCAAATGAAGTAATAGAAAGATATAAGAGCACGTATGAAAAAATAAAATATGAAAGTTGAATAGAATATATGATCTCAACACTCATTATCAACTTAATAGTAGATTTGTATTTTGATATGAAAAAAAAGAATTTGAGAAGATAAGTATTTAGTTGATGTTGTAAACATGTAATATGATATTAAAATCATAGTCGGATGGAATCGGTAAATATAGGTACTTTGAACTGTTTTATTTGTGCCCTGTAAACTGGCTCGACCCGATGAATTTGTTTTTAATAAAAATTCATCTACAAGTGATTATAAACTATATAATAGAGTAGCTGAATCGATGGAAAGAAAAATGAATTATGAAAAAGAGAAATATATATTATCGTGATAAAAAAAAAATATTCATGTTTGTATCTACAATCATAATGTTTAAGAACAACACTGTGCTTCATTCCAGTGATATCAGCAATCAATAAACGTATACTTTTCGAAACTGATCGGATTTTAGAAGCAGAAAAGCGCCAAATGATATTCTGAATTACTTATTTTTTTAGTGGAATTTCAGGTTCCGAATTCGTTAATTTAATTTTTTTTTCGAAGCTAGATTTAGGTTCGATTCTCGTTCATCAAACTATTTTGGATTCGCTTAGTAAATAATATGTAATTCGATTTAGATTCAGAATTCCTATTCTTCTATGTTTTCAAACATCCAGATGAAAATGTACGGATTGACTCTAGAAGGAAAACTCTGTAAATCGATGAAATTTGGATAAAATAATTTGAGTGAGAATGTATTCGAAGTTTTTCACTCATTTTCGATCGATTTGGTATTTCTGGTAGATATTAGGTGAATCTGGAGATATTCCAGTTCTGTTGATTTTGAAAGATTTCCTGCAAGATATAGTGTTTTATCCAGATTTTCTATTTCGAAGAGACGATTGAAAATTCCTGCAGGGAAAGCATCTATTTTTGGAAGCATAGACACCTAGTACGTGACATAATAACCAAAACTAGAACCTATTGAGTTCTACAAGATTTTTCATTATACTTTACTCAGTTCTTCAAAGACATCTGTACAGTGCTGAAATTGAATCGAATTATTAGTGTATATATATATATGTTGGTATCCAATTTTAGATTCACCTAAGCCAATCTGAAATTCTCACTTTGGATGCCTCGTAAGTCAAATCGGAGAAGAAACTTTCATTAAAACTTCAATTAGTCTCTCGATAGATGTTCAATTCGAATATTTGTCCATGAACTGTCTGGAAACAATGGCATTTCAGATTATGCAATCATCAATCAAAAAATTAAAATAGAATTCATCAAGTTATGAATAAATTTCTACAAAAGAACAACTTTTACAGAAAAGTATACACAAGCGTTCGAGTCCAAACTTAGTTTCTTCATGCTTTTGTTTCAACATAGTTCACCAACAAGTATTCAAACCCAATAAGTATCGATAAACTAATGGAGATTTTAATGAAAACTTCTTCATCGATGCAACACTAGACACATCCAATATCAGTTTGAAATTTTTTTAATATTTTCATGAAACATTGGTGATCATGTTAGGATTAGTGTAATTCTCATTCAAATAAATAATCATTATATGAAAAGATTCGAGTATATTTTTGTTATCCGTTAAAAGCTGATAATAATAGAAAAGGAGAATTATATATAGATAGTTTTGAAACTATGTTTCGAAAATTTTAGAAAGGAACAAATCTGCGCATTGTTGTTATTTTGCTAGTTAGTTCAAACATAATGATTAGAAGCAAAAAAAAAAAGAGTGAACACAAAAAATAACAACAATAACATAAAATCCATTGAAGTTCATCGTGATTAAACAGTGCTATATTTCATTCAATATTTTCTTATTTTTCATCTTTTTTCTTCTTATTTGGATCATTATTATCATCATCAGTATTTTTCTTTTGTTGTTGTTGTTGTTGAACTTGTTCAAGAGCTGCTCGTACAGCTTCACTATCAACATCAACACCAGGTAAATCTCGAAGAACATCTCGTAGAAATTGAGGATCATTAAGTGAAGCTGCGAATGAATCAGTACTTTGTTGTTCCTCATTTGTCTATTATAAAACAAAAAAAAAATATTTGAAAAAATATATAACAGAAAAATCTGCTAACTTTTCCTGGTTGTTCAGTTGTAGCTGCAGTCGAAGGTTCTTCTTTCATTTCAACGTCGTTTGTATCTAAATTAGATATGAATATTAAAAAAAAAAAAAACTAAGAGAAATGAAATATGTACATACTCGTATTTTCAGCCTGTGACATAGACATTTGGATAGCTAATGCAATTTGTTCATCTTCTGTAAGTCGTGTTACATCCATTTCATTGCTACCTGGTAAATTTTCGAGAGAAGGACCTATTAAATAATATATTAACAGGAAACAAAAAAAGAAGAAGAAGAAATTTAATTACCAGAAGTTCCTGTGTTTGCTGATGAACTTTGTTGTCCTCCTTCACCATCTGTGCTTCGACCTATTTCCGCTTCTTGTACACGTCGTTGTTCTTCCATTGAAATTCGAAGTGCCTAAAGATATTTTTACATTAAAAATACAATAAAATAATTAATTGAGATAACAACAAACCATAGCTAATTCGGGATCATCTTCAGGATTTATTCCAAATGCAAATGTACTAGCTGAATATCCATTTGGTAAACCAGAACCATCTTCACTTTGTATGATTGGTGTATTAATAAGTGTATCAGGTAAATTATCTCCTGATGGAACACATATTAAATGTGAACTAGATTAATGAAAATAAATAATTATTTAATCATCATTATCTATAATTTTTACTTTGTATTTTCTTTTCCATTAATTGTTGTAATAAATTCTTCAAACTTTTCTTTTGATGACTGAATATTAAAAAGATAAAAAAAAAAAAAACAATCAATATTAATGTTATTTAATTATAATATTCTTACTTCATCGCCAAAAACAACAATATCAATTGATACTTTTTCTTTTTTCAATCGTTTTGCTAATTTTGTAAATTCATGTGTATCAACTTCAAGTGGACTACCAACAAAAGCAATAATACGTGGTCGATGATTTTTTCCTTGACGATGTTTTAATGCTAACTATTAAAAGAAAATAATAAATTTTAATTCTATCAGTTCAACATTTAATGTTTACTAATGATTGTCGCAGATTATATAGAACAAACTCATTTTCTTTGATTTGAAACATTTCGACACATTTTCAGAACTTTCGAGAAAGTCTATTCAAAAGAACTGCTCAGGTTAGCTCTGAATCCGAGTCTCAAAGACGTTCAATAAACCGAATCCTCGCTCAAAATTATTGACCGACAGGCTCTACTTCTCGCTTGTCAAATTGCTTTTCAACAGAAACGAGAATGTGTAATGTGAGTGTGGGTGTATTGGACTAGCTATAAATTCTCTAGTCTCTCCTATTCTGAGATATTCGTAAGTCTTTCGTGTGTAAAAGTACATTTGGTTCATATATTTACGTCTTCAGAAAGGAAATACTAATTGCATAATCAATTACTCTTATTATAAACTTTGTTCGTGTCAAATTTGAAGTTGAAATTCGAAAGTCAATTTTTCACGCCACCTGAGGAGAACTACAACTCTGTTGAAAAATCTAGTAACCTACATTCTCACAAAGTCATAAAATGTAGATATTTACTATATAAAATTTATAGTTTCGATTTGAATAAAATATTGAGATTTGTGAAAAGTCTTATGCTTAAATTTTCTATAGAAATCTTTCGTACGTATTATTTGATTCTTATCATTTTAATCTTTTATCAATAACTGTAATATCAAAGATTTTTTTCCTTCAACAAATTGCAAACAAAAAACCTTTAACTCTAATAGACATTGCGTTTTTCTCGTTCTGCTATTAATCATATTTTCATTGTACTACAGAGACATTTTTCTTTTATACTTTAGGGAAAAAAGAATAAATTAACTAGACTAATCGGAAGTGCAAGAGTTGATAATTGAATGTTTTGCTTAATCACAGCTTCAATTAGGATTTTTTTCTTTCTTTCTTTTTTTTTTAAAGAACAATATAACTTACATTAGCTACTTTAATTCCTTTACAAAAATCAAGTTTTCCTTCTACTGGTAATAAATGTAATTTTGAAAAAACTTTGCCAACATCACTTGTCAATTGAGTAACAACTCGACCACTGAAATCAAATAATAATATTTATAAAAAAAAAAGAAAGAAATTCTGATAAGAAGTTTCTTACTCCGAAAAAGTTAATAATCCAACATTATTTTCAGGATTCGATCTTGTCTTAGCATGAAATATAAGTGAAACAGCATCCTGTTGTGCTTGCATTCGTGTTGGAATAAAATCTCCATCACGCATAAAATCACTATTATCAACACTAAATTTACAAATATTTTTTGTGTTAAAATTGTCAAAACAAACAACAAGATCATTCTCACCAAATAATGGTACTTTCTAATGGCATAATTAATTAGAAATCTAGAAGAAAAAAAATTCCTTTTATTTCTTTATTTTTCATTATCACTTGTTATTTAACATTAAAAGACAAAAAGAAAAAACACATGAGCGCGACAGAAAACACTGTTCTATACATGAATTCACACACTAAAAAAAAAAAAAAAAACAACGCACCGGGCGTTATGCGAGAGATGACAAATACAAAAAAGAAAACAATATTATGCAAGGACCAGCCAGTAAGCGCACACTTAGAATGGAATGAATATGATTGAGAGCACCAAAAGTAGAAATAAATAATAACATCCTATTGTCAAGATGATCGTTGTTTAGGTAATTCATTTTGACTTCCAATACGTAATGCACGAATCCAATCTTTACGTTCATCTTCTGATGATGCTGACATTCGATAAACAGTATGATGACCTAAAATAAAGAATATTTCATCTTTTCTTTTTTTCAAAGAAAATATTTTGATATAAACCTTCAGTAGCTTTTCCTATTTCACCTAGTATTGGTTTTGTTGTTTTGACTTTTTCTCCTGTAAGTGGAAAAAGTTCAAAACAAAATGGTTTTGTACGATCATCTTCAATTTCTCGTACACCAACATCAATTAATGATATTATACCACGAGGATTATCAACTTCCTATCATAAGAAAAAAAAGATTTAATCCATATTTTACAAAATAATAATTTACTGTTCTAGATTCATAATAAAAAAGGCAACCATCTGTTATAACAAACCATCGTCGTCTCCATTGTCGAACACGACCACCTAAATTATTTATTTATTATTATTTTTTTTGTTATTTGTTTCATTACCTTGTTTCCATAACCATCCTTCTTTAATTATTGTCGAATTACTATTAAATAAGATTATAAATAAAGATGAATAGCAAGAGAATAGAAGTAACTTAATATATTTGTAGAACAGAATTGAACAATACTCAAGAAAATCTGTACTTGTCCTGCTATGTATATTACAGGAAGATCAAAACTTTGATAATTTATATCAACCTCTTAGTTTTTAATTAACATTATGTTGCGTCAAAAAAATCTTCATGAAAAAACTATTGGCTAAAACTCTATCACCATGATTTGTATTCATTCTAATAGTATCCACTGACTTTAATTGTTTCTGTCTATTTTGTTGATTCATCCTACGTTGATCGAAAGGTAAAAATGTCAAAAATAAAAATAATCGAAATGTCAAAAGGTACAAATGTTGAAAATGATGGTGTGTATGGGAAAAGAAGTTCTTTCACCTTCATTCTAACTCTTACATCCACATTAAGATCCCGTATTTTCATTTTCGACTAAAGTAGAGTTAACCATTCTGTAATTGGCAGGTTGCCATGACTAAATAGCTGCATTATTCAACATTTATCCAGAAAATACTACTAGCAATGAAAGAAGCCTGGACAAACTAATAACAACTGTTTGTTTTTTATTTTAGTATGTGAACTACATTGTGACATATATTTGCTCTTATGATTAGTAAATATGCATGAGGCTTTCAAAGCATTGAGTGCAATTACTTTGTGTCAGGCTAACCTTTTGTTCACAGCTATAGCTAGTATCAGTTGTAGAGAAGATATCGAACTACTGAAAACAACGCAAGGCGAGAGTACTCTTCTTCATCTCATTTATATTAGTTATCATCCTTTTATCAAATATAGCTTCTTTTTCTAAGTATCGTTCTTAAACTGACAGTTACTTTTCAATTAACTGTATTATTTTCATTGTATTAGATATTTCCTTTTCTAGATAATACTGACAAAAACAAGTATGCAATGAATTATAAATATGAAAGAAAAACAGAAGAAAATGTTTTGAAAAATCCTAAATATAGAAATTCGTTTAAATTGTCAGTTTTGAACTCATTATTGTAATATAGAAAATGTTTTTGATTTGGTATTATAATATAAATATGGAATCATTAAAAATCTTTGTCGAAAAAATTTTCATATTATTTATCTACACTAACTGTAAATTAATAGATTTATTATTCAATGAAATTTAATTGGATAGAGTTGAACTTCTAGTTTATAGAATTCTATGAAAATACTATCTGATCTAATAAATCTCTTCTTTCTTGATTCATACTCACCCCTCTTTGATTTTGGCGCTAACATTCGATAAATCAATATCATCTTCTGGTAATTTTAATTCATTATTTTTAATATTATCGTAAATATTCTAAAAATACATATTATCAATATCAAAAAAATAAAATTCTATTATAAAATCTACTTTGATTAGATTTATATCGGGCATATGTTGACGTAGAATAGCTTCATTTAAACTACTAACAAATTTCTCATATGTAAATGGTCCACCAAAACGAGCACTTTTATTATGTAATGATGTATTTAACATAATAATAGCAAATGATAAAATAAAACATACTTCTATTTATCATTCAAATAAAAACGATTTAATTCAATTAAAATATAATATTTAATTTAACTTACCAGCATTAGCATATACATCTGGATTACATTCATAATAACGTTGAGCAAATGCTTCCATAATTCGATCGATTTTTTGTGCTTCACCTGGAAGAAGAAATGTAAATAAATAACGTCTAAAAAAACAAAAAAAAAAAATATAATAATTAAAGAAATTTAATTTAATAAAAAAAAAATTAACCTAAGAGCTTCAACAATATCTGTTGAAAAAAAATCAAACATATGAGCAAAATGTTTGAGAACTTCAATATGAGAATCATCTCTATTTATCAAAAAAGAAAAAAGTAACAAGTATATCTTTGAAATTATACATTATAAAATTAAATACTTTTCACCAAGATAATCACCAATCGCACGTTTACTTAAACCTGTTTCTTGAAATAGAAATGTAGCCACATGTTCTGGTGTATTTTGAATAAGATTATTATCGACAAGCCAACGTATACCCTAGAAAAATAATAAAAAAAATATATAGAGAATATCTCAAAAGTCTATCGGAAACATTAACATAAATATCTCTTATACAATTTAAGTGATGTAATTGGTTGTTTTCGTAATATATATATATGTATGTTCTTTTAAACATTGTTCTGTATATTTTCAAATAAATCTACTTGCCTGTAAACATTAGAATAAATATTGTTTTATAAATGATTGAAATTGGGTCATCAATAGTTGTGAAACAATAACTAAAAGTCAAAGTCGGTATTAATGCATCAGAGGAAGACTGCATTAAACTTATATTTCAATGTTTTTTGTGACATTTATGCAATGACTCATTCAGAACGTTCTGGAAGACGGTAAAAAATTGCAAAATCGAAAATTGACAAAGTTTATGATGTGGGTGAAAAAATAAATTATACTGTAGTGCTCGCGCTGTTATACAGATTTACTCTATTCTATAATTCTAATTAGGAAACGTCATTGAGAATATCAAAGTACTGTTCGATCGGATCCGAAAACTTTGAGCCTAATTGACTCTATAGGTGATTTGAATTTGATCGTTTATAAAACAATGCTCAGTCTGACTTTTATGTGCATAGACATTTATACGAAAATATCCAGAACAAAACTTTAAAAATCATATACTTACATATTATTTTTAAAAAAAATCAATTAAATTGCTTGAATTTTATAAGAAATATTTACGTTACCTTTTCTAATAGACTTGTGAAACACTCTTTATATATATTATTTTATTCTTATGTATACTTACTTCTTTTGGATTTTCATTAAATTGTCTTTTGCCAATCATCCATTGTTTGATATTTGCATTTTGACGGCTATAATCAAAGAAAAATCGAAAGAAGTTTTTTATTTACAAAAAAAAAATTAAAAACCTTAATAATCGAGATTTTCTAAGTGAAACTGGTACATTAAAATGACAGACATAACGCATTGGTTTCAATGGCTGAGTTACAGTAACTGGTGTGGTATTATCACTATGTGTAGACATCGAATGATGTCCATGATTACGCATTCGAAAATTTGAAAATCTTCGTTCAAGATTTAAACCATTATGATGAATTATCTTACTGTCATGACTTTTAGCTCTCTCAACTATTCTTGATGAATCGATTATAGTTGTTTTAGATACTGTCGATGATGCTTTTGGTTTATTATCGTCCATAATTAATATTGTTGATTAGCAAAAAAAATAAATAACTACTGATGTAAATGCTTGAATATAAAGTAGACGTTATTAAGAAAGGAAGAAAAAGGTGACGCTTCAATTATTTTCTTTTTACCCCCTTTTTTTTTACTGCAGTACTCAAACAAGCATAGGTGTTGTTATTATTATTATGTTAGTCATTTTCTTTTACCTTGTTTTATACTATATACATAATGACTAAGAAATATCAAAAAGTAATGAATATATGATGATTCATTTATCTATTTAATACATACCTTGTATTATTATGAGATTGTATTATTGACATTTCAACTTCACATTGAGCAATTTTTTCACGAATTTCCTTTAAATATTAAATATTAAATATAAAATTTAATTTTCAAAATTGTACATACAATCTTAGACAAAAGAAAGTACTCATTTCCTATCTTAAGTATCACTATTCATTAAAATATTGAACTCATACTTTGAGTGCATACCTGTAATAATAAACCTTGACGTAAGCACTAGTTTGGCCTTCATTAGATCACGCCTACCAGAGGGACGATTATTGATGTATATCTGAGTCATTTCTAGACGCAATTGGGGCTCTCTAAATCACCTCACCCTACTCAACAAAATATAAGCTCAATCTCAAGCTTATAATATTCGAAATGTAATAGAAGTTCAATTTATCTCAATGAGTACAACATAGTTAAGTACATTATTGAAGAGATTAAGGTATAAATGAGTTTCTTTTGTGAGTCGAAAAATATGTGCACATGGACATGAATGAGAGATAGCTGTTCAACAACAGGAATTATAGATAATAGACATACTTTAATACTATTCTATTATGGAATTATACACAATCTAGATATGAAATTATGTAAATTCTTATTAAAGTGACAGAAATATGAACAACTGTTTAACTGAAACATGAGACATCTTACGAAGCTGAATGATACTCGATTGAAAGTATGCAAGAGAGGCTTTTGGACTCAAAAACAAGTGCCAATATGAGATGAGTATACTGTCAATTATTGAAACACTCATAAGATTTAAATTGTTTATTCCATAAAGATGAGAAGCTATCATTTGGTATTTAAAATATCTCTCTCAAGATAGTTAAAATATATCTCCTCGTGTTTCTGGATTATATATATGTTTCTAAGATGACGTTACCTGAAAAAAGCAGTATAATAGTTTTTTTTCCAACTTCTCCAAAGCTCAATAATTTCTCAAAACAAAATATCACAACAAGCGTAGTTTAACGCATTCATATTAAGATTCACGAAGTGCTGATGACAGACGAACGTGTGAATAAGAAAAATAATGTTATGAATGCATTAATCAGATTATCTAATGGCAAACAATTGGAAAAGTATAAAAGTCAATTTTTGATTCTTCGGTAACTTTCATAGTTTGCATCAAAGTTCTTAGGCAGTTTGGAAACTTGAATTTATCGAATCTTGTGCACTTCTACATTTGTAAGCAAATCAAATTATAGCTACAACACACAAAAAAAATTGATCGCAATAAAAGTTCACTTTCGAAACAAATAAGAAGCTCAGTGTGCTACTATTCTATGTGAAGATTAACTAGTAAATTAGATCGGCACCCTATCATTTCGTCCCATTACTTTTCGTCCCCTTACACTACGTCCCATTCATTTCGTCCCTCGCTCATTTTGCCCCTTTTCATTTCGTCCCAAATTCATTTTGTCCCAGTGTCATTTCGTCCTATACACTTCGTCCCAAACTCATTTTGTCCCGTTACACTTTGTCCCTACTTTTTTCATATGATTAGCTAACTTTAACGAAAGAGAAACAGAAAAGAAAAAAAAATTCACACTCAAATATTGTTCACCACGTAAAGCTGTTCTTCTTTACTATTTAATCGAGGGGCTACCGGGACTTATTGTTTTGGGATTTATTTCTTCTATAGGATTTATTAGGATTTATTTATTTAATGGGGATTTATTGGGATTTATTAGCTGCATCAGGATTTTCTTGCACCTTCACTCGACTGCTGCCCCCTTTGCCCTCACCCACAATTGCGTCTACATCCTCATCCTCACCATCGCCTTCGCCCTCACCCTCAAAATAGTGCGGGATTTATTTAAAAACGTATATAGATTTATTAAAAAATCCCCCAAAAAAAATCCCCCAAAAAAATCCCGGTAACTGCTGATTTAATCAAGTGTTGCTATCTATACGACCGATGGGTGATATTGAAATTTTGAAGAGTAAAAGAGGAAATCCGATGGTGTATCATGGTAAATTCGTGTACATGCAATACCGATTGACTGATGAAAAACGTATTTTTCGATGCGAAAGCTGTGACCCTCACCCGCAACATCTGGCCCGTGTGGCTGCTAACGTGAAACTAAATTCTTGAACTGTTATTCATTCTTCATTTTATTTAATATATTAAACGTAGAAGATCATAGTACATGACATTGTATATTAAGTAGAATCGTCAGAAACGACTTGTCCGGTATGACAAAGTGTAACGGGACAAAATGAGTTTGGGACGAAGTGTATGGGACGAAATGACACTGGGACAAAATGAATTTGGGACGAAATGAAAAGGGACAAAATGAGCGAGAGACGAAATGAATGGGACGTAGTGTAAGGGGACGAAAAGTAATGGGACGAAATGAGTGGCCACCATTAGATCGAATACTATAGGTTTTTTCGAATGATGAGTTTTATTCTTTGATATTTATTATTCAAACTAATGTATTCTGAAGACTTAATTCATGTTTCTTTAGAGCTTTACAAAGATGAGAATAAGTCTCAAAGAGACGCTAATCAAATTTCGAAAACATATCTATTATTACCATGAGATTCAAACAATAAAACTTTCTATTAAAAAAAACAACTTCTTGTGTTAAATCTGATTTATTGGTGAGATATTTAATTTCCCCCCAATACAAGTCTTTAGTAATGGTTCAAACATCATGTTTTTCTCGATCATGTTGGCATAAATATTTTCATTCAATCCCTCATTCGAAAGTTTAATGACGTACGTATCTTCAGTCGAAATTTTGTTACAAATCACTTTAAAATGACAGAGACAATCAATTCATTGGAAAAATTTTAGCGAAATATTTCTATAAAACAACGAGTCTGTACTGAAAGTTTCAGAGTCTTAGCATTAAACAAAATCAAGTTAGCACTACAACATGGATTTAGTATCTCAAAGCATAGTAACTACTTAAATCTTGATCGTCTATCATGGATTTCAATGATAATAAATTACACATAGTCAGATCTAATTCCGTTTGTAGTTTATTTCTGCATATATCAAATCTCTTTACAAAAATGTAACGACTATATATATAGGATGATGACAGATGGGGAAAACCATACGGTAAAAGCTGCATAGATCCTAAAAAGGAAAGGAAGACGATCAAAAGGAAAGGAAAATTCATAACGTATGACTAATAATACGAGGAAAAGAGAAGAACTTAAATATATAGGTATAATCATATAGACAACCAGGAAACTCTTACAATCTCATATGAAAAAGACGTAAATCATAAGATACATATAAGACTGTCTTTAGCACTAGAGTGATACAGTAATAACTGCTCGAATAACAAAATGAAAAAGTGTAGTATTCCGCTAAATGTTTAAATCATAATTGTCTTGCATGTGAACTGGTGAAGCTTGGATTGTTGCTTACGATCAAAATTTATTATCGTATGCATGCATCCAAAATATCAACTCAATATCATAAAGAAAAGTATCATTTCAAGGAGACGCGAATGAACATCTTCTTTTTGTCTAAACTTATATCTAACATACTTGAATTTCTCTTTTTAGTTGTTCTTTACGGCGACGAATTACATCGACTGGAATATTTGAACCAACAACGGTTTCGTTTTCTAAAATAAAATAATTATAGATATTTTAACTAATAACAATTTTTGCAAAAATTGTGGGACACTTAAAAATGATTCTTCAAAATGTTACAAGTCATTCAAATTAAACCATATGTATTTATGCTAAGTATCGTTAATAGTTAAGCTTTTGTATTCTATTAATCCTAGAATTTTAACGTCGGTATAGTATAAAACCGATCGTAACAGCGCAACTAACGTTCTATTCAAATTTTATCTTCTGGAGAAGCAATTTCAAAGTTCGAAAAAGGTGAATATTCGTTTTTTGGAAGTATAGACACACACTATGTGGTATAATAACCTGACACTTCGAAAGAACATTGAAATTCGAACGGCTGCCGTCCTCTCGACCCTCACTCTAGATGTAACACTGGACGTAACCAACAGAGCGCAACCCTAACACCGGAACAACGCAAAACAAAATAATTACCATAATTGACACTATATTGCATGAAGTACTCCTAAGATCGTAGAACATCACCTAAGTCTTCTAGTTACACTAAGTTTAATCAATAAATATAACTATCATATACATATAAACTTTACTTCGATTGAAATATAAAAATTTTGAAGAATCATTCTTAAGTGTTTCAGAATTTTTTTGTGAAGACTGCAGTTACATACCGAAACCGTTGAGTGTCATCTATTAATATTTTTTACAAATCTAGAAAAACAAAAATATCAATGAATTATTTTAGGATTTTATTAATATAAAAATGGAATAATTCTATATGGAACACGATGACAATATTCATTCCAATCACGACCATATTTTTCTTTACATCTCTCATAATCTGTTCTTTCTCGAGCAATAAATAATGCAATATAATAAAGTGGATATAACCATGGATAAATTCCTCCATTAATTGCTAAACTAAGACCAATAGACATGAAAGTATCACCTAAATAATTGATATGACGTGAAAGAGACCACCATCCTGAACAAAGTAAACGTTCATTGATTGATATTGGGCGTATAAAACCTAAAAATAAAGCATTTGGTTGTGTTCGAAATAAATATTTTTGATTATTTGCACCACGAGATAATATCCAACCAAGAAAAAAAATACTAATACTACAGAACTTTCGATTAAAAGATAATGACATTGGATTAATATTACACCAAATAGCAATTGGATAGAAAAATGGATAAAAAACAAAACAACCCCAAACTAATTTAAAACCAACATATTCAATAATAAAATCAAATGTATATAAATGAACATGTTCATGATAAAAATATTCTATTATAAAAAAACTAAATAGAAATATATAAATAATTATATTTGTCATCGGTTCATTTTTTTGTGCATATTCAAAATAAAATAGAATTAAATTAAGTTCTAAACCAATTCCTCCTATAATATAGAGTAAAATTTTTCCATCAACACAATTAAAAAACCATTGAGGATTTTTTAAACGACCAAGATAAATATCAAGCCAAAATGATGATGATTTTTGTTTATATGGAAGTACAACAATAAATGTAAATATTAAACCTAATAAACATGCACAAACTGCATGTTTTATTCGAAGTTTAATCAAATATTGAATATTAACAAATTGAAAATATTCAATAGAAATAATAAATGAAAGACTGACTATGAATAAAACTCGTAAACCATTAAGACGATAAAATGAAGGACCATCATGAACATAACCACGAACATGATGGGCAGGAACAACAAGATGTAATAAAGTAATAAATGTATAAATGAATGAAATATGAATAAATGCAAAAAACCATTCGTTTAGATCAAGGTTCATCATATTTGAATTGAAATGATATCACCTAATCATGAACTAAATACAATGAAGTTGAAAGAGTTGAATTTCAAGATAAGAGAGAAGTTAAAGAGCAGTTGTTTTATAACATGATCATAATGACGAAAGTAAAGAAGCAAACAATCGACATTTAAGGGTAAAACATAGCTAACACTATTGCTTCCATTGATTCATTCAATACATCTTTTTTATTATCAAACGAAGAAAAAGAAAAACTTATTGGATAAATATTATTCAATCCATTCAGAGTTTTATAAGATGACGCTACATATTGAACATATTACGTATTAAATTTGAAAAAAATCAACTACTGTGCATGTTAAAATATAATATACTTCACTGCTTTTTAATAATTTTTCATAGAAACCTTATAGAGACTTGTAGTATTCACCATTCACGAGAGCACACATATAGAGCCATTGAAATAAATCGAAATTTGATTAGTCAACAATTGACTAATCAGGTAGGTTCTTTGTAAAAAAAAAAGGTTGAGATAATCTACACACACTTCGACGTACACACACAAAATCGCCATTGCATTAAAATGACACATAACCTCTAAGTATGAAAGAGGGCGTTTCGTGTCGCGAACGAAAGATATAAGTTTTATGTATATTATCGTTTGAATAAAATAAAAAAGCGATTATAAAAATGTTTTCATTTTTTGAATTTCGATGTGATATGAATGCAATCTATCACAAATAATACGATATTAAAAATGAAATATATAAGTATCGACTTATTTAAATAATTTTTTTGTCAAATTGTAGCGCACATAAAATAGTATTTCATCTATTATAAATGAACAAAAACTAGTAAATATTATCTTTTCTCGTTTATCATATTCTATTTTATGATTTAAAAGAATTTTTCTAATACAATATCAATTAAAAATCAGTTCATTATCAGAAACAGCCTCTTGTTCTTGTAAACAATGTATAATCTATTACATCCAATTTCTTTCAGTTCGAGTAATTAGACTACTCATAACTTGGTGCTTCTACACGATATGCACACCCTCTCCCTCACCCGCACTGTGCGCTGTGTGTGTGTGTGTATGTTTGTGTAAGGGTGTGCATATCGTGTAGAAGAACCCATAACTTTTAACCTATGTGCACCAAGTCTTTGCACAAAATGACCATTCAATGTTTGACTGGTTTTAATCAACTGAAGAGAAAAAAGTAGTCAGCTAGACTAAGTATTTCATGTTCTATCTCTCTATATATATTCAGATTTCTTTTTGACTTAGAGTACCGCATTAAGAACAAATATTTAGAAGGATCTAAAACGATGTCTGTGTAAAATTGTAAACTAGCAGGTTTTATATGTGCATCTACTTATGTTTGGAATGTCCAGTTGCCATTAAAGATAATCAAAACGAATTAATTAGCATCAAAATTTATTTTATATTATAGATATGTTCAGAATTTTTATCCCATCTCAGTCAACTCACCTACGAACAAATATCTGAGTAGTTTAAAGATGTTACTTTCATCAAGTAGGCTTTTTTTCTATCTTATATAGACCTTATTAGTGGCACTGATATCAACTCGTTCACAATTTTAAAAGATGTTTTGAAGGCACAATAAAAGTATGTTCTTAGAAAGAACGAAATAAACTGAGAAATGAGATTAAATTATCTCGGAGATATATATAGTCAAATATCCAAAAGAAATATTTTTAAATGAATTTTCGATTAAGAATCTTTTATTCTTTCTCTTTCACTCTAAGGAGTCTACTTTTTTTATTCGTACAAACTGTGGACATATGAATCAAAGCGAGGAAGACTAAAGCATTGAAAATGATTAATGGCGTAGATTGTCTTACTTAAGAATAAGTCACATAAATGGAAAGCGATATTGTTTTTTTAAGAAAATTCTATTTTAATGAAAATTCATTTACAGATGCTGGGAAATCATATGACGTTTGGCATCAACACTATGCTCCATTTCAGTTTTATCAACTACAAGCAAACATATTGAGAAATCGATAGAAATTTGACGGCAGAAAGACATGAAATGAATTTTCATCGCCTGCCTTTATGGGGAGTTTGAGATGCTTTTCTTTTATTGATATTCATGGAAGAAACGGAATAACATGGCTTTTTCATATCAAGGAAAAGTTTGAAATTTACACTATGTTTATGAATTTTTTTGCCGAGTGTTGATTAGTTTCGATAAGATTTAGGATATGAAAGAAATAATAATTCTAATATTAAACACTTACATAAAAGTTTATGTAATGAAAAAGTTACTATTTAATTAGAACAAATTTTGTTTTCTATTCATTCATATTTCAAAAAGTTTCTTAGCAAAAAGCTCTCAATATTCAAATCTATTTAATTTAAAATTGTATATAAGCAGTCCAGAAAAATAAATTTAAACATCGATAAATAATAAAGAAAACACGCTTAATTTTCTTCTGTGAGAAGATATTAGTTTCTCTTCAATGAAAGTTAAAAATATTTTCCCCATATAATAGAGAAATTAATTGAATTTTTTTTCTTTATGATGTAAAATTAGATTTTGACTCGGCTCATATTTGAATTTTTTAATCTTCAGTGATTGCAATGAATAATTAAATGAAATGGAAATAACATATATGGTTTGATTTGAGTATTTGCCTTATTTTCATATACATCTTATTTTAAAATATATCTTGTAATTCAACAAAAGTCTCACTAAACATTTTTTCAACATAAGTCAAAAAATGTATGGATATATGAGAATAAAGAATGGACAGTAATTCTATTGGTTGAAACAAGCAAGGGTAAGCTACACACACTATTGTGTGTAGCGTGTGAATGTAGCTTATCTTAACCAAAAAAAAAGTTCTTCTTTTTCGATCTGCACAAAGTTGATATGCTGCCTAACTTGTTCTGTTCGAAAGTTATAAGATCTTCCCTCGAAGAAGGAAGAAAGAGTACTTCTGTTTTTCAGCAGCGACAGATGCAACAGTCTAATATCTTCCTTACAATTATGACTAGCTGTAGCTCGGAATAAAAGACCAACTTGGTCGAAATTTCTTGTGCTGAATTGCTCGAGCTCTTCGTATACATTAACTAACTAGATACTAGCCACAAGAGTAGGTGTATGTCACAACGTGGTCAACATACTATTGGACAAATGATTCAAAATCAAGAGTCGTTACTGACTGGTTTGAGGTCATTCCATGATTGGTGACAGTGATGTTTGCATACAATATCTTGTGCATACGTCTCGAACAACGTACCCACTTAATCATGCCGGCTGACGTTTCCTGAGACCTTTCGATTTCATCTGATTGATCTGTATTCTTGCAGAAAAGTAGCTAAACACAGATAATTTGCCGTGCTAAATACAATGGTGATATTTATTTTTAGTCTGGAAATGATCTGGACTCTGATTATCTCATTATTTCTAAAACTCTGCAATCAGTGTTCATGTAATCAAAAAAAGTTAGTATTTTGGAAACATTGAGATATTGGCGTCAGATCAGTTTATACATAAAAATAAATATATCACCATTCTACATAGCATGGTGCATTATCGCTGCTCATCTGAGTGGTCAAAGATTAATCAGCCAAAATCGGAGGTCTCAGGAAAATGTTTAGAACTCTCAAACAGAACAAGCTAAGAATGTCGATCTTGTGTAGGCCGAAAGTTAAACTGTTTTTCTCATGAACGATAGCACCCGAAGTCTTGAGAAAATGCCGTAGAAACGAAACACACAAAATTTTTTATCCATTCATGCTAACTACGTTCCTTTGTGAAACGATCATCATGAGCGTAGACTTGCACAAACCTATAGATATCTATAGAAAATCAAAGTTAAACGATTGAGCAGACGTTCAATATTTTCAATTTTGTCTTAACAGAAAAACTTATCCGATAAGCAAACGAAACAGATATGTAGAGCAAAAAACTCTCTATTCAATGATTCTCTAAAACTATATCGAAATGATGTTGTCCCATTTAATCTACGCTAGTACTTCATTCGGATTCTCAGTTCTAGTAGAGAGAGGACGATTTAAAGCTTCGAGAAGGTGAACATCTATTCTTGGCAGCATAAACACATAATAATTGCTACAATAACCATCAACTCCAGAAGGATCAACCTGATTCTCATACTGGATAAAACACTTATCTATACCATCGATTGTTATTCAAAATTCAATAAGAAATGAAAAGAACTTTTCTAGACGATATTCATAAAACAAGAAAATATTTAAGTTTTTGTTAGCAACTATCATTTTTTCTTATCCTTACTCAAAATAAATGACATATATCGATACAAAATATCTTCAAAATTATTTTGAAATAAATCAGATTCAAAAAATTTTCTCTTATCTATTGACTAAACAAAAACGTTTTTAATTTGATAAAATTTGAAAACCTACTTTAAATTCAAATTTAATGAAAACAGCAGATTTCTTTTTGTTAGAAAAAATTTCCATAATTGCTTATCGATTTTTCTATTAATGATATACATCAGTAAGATTAATTCATATGAATTTGTACAAATTCACGATGTCTTTTCATATATTCGAAAGGCAACAAATAATATAAACTAAAGTTAAACATCACACTAAAAGAGAGAATGACTTTGAAAAAAAAAAATGAAAACAAAAAATTTATACAAAAGTCATATTCACTCCACAGTATGATATGGACATGGCAATTTTCGATTACATAGTTTATTATTTCGAAGTCGAGTTTTAAGAACAGTTCCACAAAGTTTGACTGTTGTTGTTGTAACTGTTGTTGTTTTAGTTGCAACTAATTTTCGTTGACGTTTACCAGGTCGTTTTCTTAAATTATAGAATTTAATAGCTGTTGTTTTTGTTGTTAAAATTGGTTTTATACTATCAGGTCGACGTGCAGCTTGTTGTCGCATTTTTTTAAGTAAATAAGAAGATGATACAAATGGATTTGAAAATGAACGACGATGTTTTGATGTTGAATAACCACCATTACTTATACAAAAACATTTTGATGATGCAAGTTGTAAAAGATCATCCATAGCATCATCATTTTCATTAGCTAATTGTTGTTGTTTATGTTCAAAATAATGATGTGAACACATATTAGCACGACAATGAAAACAATGAACATCATATGGTGTTTCACATTGATCGACTGAACATAAAGTTGGATTTTCAGATACAGGATCAGTAGCTGCTGACGACGACATCACGTGTACGTTTGTTTCAATAAGAGAAACAAAGAGAGAGAGAAAAAGAGAGAGAGAGAGACAAAAAAAAAGAAACTATGTATTCGTACTCACAATTGAAGACTAAACTAGACAAGGATGACCGATACGTGAACCCGTTCCAACTATTGCTGAATGTTAAAAAATAATGCAGAAAAGAAAAAGGAGGAAAGCAAAAGAAAGATGTCAGTAAATAGTCTAGTGACATCTAATGGTTGATTGTCCTATATTTTTCATTACATATATTATGATTATTAAACGCATTGAAGAATAAAAAAAAGTAATTAGTCCATCACAAATTATGTCAGATCAATCTAATCTAAACATTATTTCAATAGAATTTTTTTTCTTTAAAGATTTTCTCAATTAGTATATTTTATACAAGAAGAGTTTATTTGTTTTGATTAAACTCTAATAATGAAATATTATTATTTTTTTTTCAATTTAATTAAATAAAAGTTGATATTGAATGATTTTTTTTGTATAAAGTTTTTCTCTTCATCTAGTATGTGTTTGATTTGTATTCTTACAATTTATTGTGATCTTTTTTGAAATATTTTCATGAATAAAATATTTCAAAATCTGGTATACAATAATTGTCACACTAGTTAAAACAAGTAAACAAATTAAAATTGATATAAGTGTTTGACGTGATCGAAAATCTTGTTGTTCAATAGGTGATTGATTGTTATTTATTGGTTGACACAATTTAAGATTTTGAAATAGATAATTTTTCTTATGTATATCTTTCATATTATTAAATGTATGATGATCAATAGTAATTGATGATAATCTATTCGATGTAACATCAATAGATTTTGTGTTCATTTCAAATTAAAAAAAGAACATATTCAGAAAATAATCGTGCGCCTAAAGTTTAAATTTTTTTATTCACACCGGTTGAAATATTCAACTCGATTATGTGAGCAAAAATAAAGAAAGAAACAAAAATCAGTTTGAACATTTGAATCAACGAAAAATAAACGAAACATTCATATCGAAACAAATGTGAATGTTAACGGTTCAAAAGAAAACAATAATTATTTCAGAAGAAAAAAACCGAAACGAAATCATAATGGAAACAGGAAGTAGACAAAATAAATGAATAAAAACAACAACGACAGTAACAACAAAGAAACAATAGTTATTGATTATGAACTTAAAGTAACAGAAAGAAAAGGAGTCTAGAATAATGTGGAACTTTTAGTTAAGTGAATAGTGTAGGGGTTAGTCACTCGACATTATTAGGTCTATTCTTTTCAAATTATTATTTTCATTTTGAAATATGGATTATAATGTTTTCTATAAATATTCAAAGATATTTGTCAAATCATAATACATATGAATTTATATCAATTTCATCACATTTTATGAAATTCGACATACTCACGTTTTATTTATTTTTATAATTATTATTAATAAGGTTTTAGCGTGAATAAAAATGCGAATGGCATCTGAAATAACATGTTTTTATTCCATGTGCGCAAAAGAATTTTACGCGACTATTGAGTCGAACTTTATTTTATGTAATTATTATCTAAATTATTTAGAGTTAGATATTCAGAAGAGATTTTAATTTAGAAACATTCGGCAAACAAAATTTCGAATTGATTAATCAAACAAGAAAGAAGTCGAGAAAAATAGATCTAAGAATGTCGATTAATAATTCAGCTTTTTTTTTTTGTTTCCTCTTTTTTTTAAATTGAAATAGTTATACACCGGTAGCCAAAACTGAGTGATTATAAAAAAAAAAGCAAATATAGGATAATAGTTACCTGTAGAAGAACATGAAAAGAAAAAACAATAGAAATTTTTATATTTACAAGAAATAGACGAAAAAAGTTGAGTAGTAAGTCAAAATGCATCATTATTATGATCCATGGTTGAATGTTGTCGATACGAATTTGAATAAGTTGATGTTTCCGTTCGATTTTGTTGTTGATTAAGATAATTGGAATTCGAATGAGTATCCATAGAAGGAGTATATGATGGTTCATTCATTTGCCGAAGAAGATTAAGAACAAGATCACGTTTATTTGGATGTGCATGAATAGCATCAAGTAATTGTTGTTCATCAGGATCAAGAGGTGTTCCTGGATGAGATTGATGACTTGCTGGTGATTGAATGGGTGGAGTTTGACTTTGATTATTAGCTATTTAAGAAATAAAAATCAAAATAGAATTTTATACTATTAAAACATAGTTTTTTCATATAATTAATATTTAAACATATTATTATAAAATGTCTCAAAAGAAAACACTATGACCTAGACTAAAGTTTCTATTAATTCTATCACGCTATATTATCAGGAGATCAAAGATATATGAAATGAAACTCAAAGTCAGGAAGGCAAAGTCCTGAATGTAATAGTCATATTCTCTTCTGAAACATCTATAATTTTAAATTTGTTTTAGATATTCTAAAATTTTATATTATTCATTGTGATTGTTTAATTTCAAAAAAATGATTTACCTAATGAAAGAAGCAATAAATGTTGTTCATTTTGTTGTTGTTGAAAATTAGGTGATGCTATTCTATTATATTGTTCATGATAATTATCATATGTATTATGAAGATAATGTTGGTTTGTTGCTGGTGACATTGCTAAATTTGACATTGGATTAACTAGAACAAAAAAAAAAAAATAAAAAATAAAATAAATAAATTTTTTTTATTCTTAACAATTTACATTGAGAATGTTTATCGAGAGAAGAACTATCTTTTATTGATGATGAATGTGATCGATGAATTTGTTCATGTGAATTATCACGATTAGATAATGGTGATTGTTTTTTTGGTGGTAGATGCCGAAGAGAAATTGTCCTAAAAAAAAAAAAACCCAATAGAAGAATATAATAAAATAACAACATTTTTTTTTTTATGTTTTCAAATAACCTTTTTGATGTAGTTAAATCATCATGAAATTTCGGTACAAAATTTGGTACTTGATGATCGTGTAATTTTTTATGTAAAGAATTTAAATTGGAATATTTTTCAAATTCATTAGAATTTGAACGTATAAATTCTTGTTTCATTTCATGATGAGATTTATGAATAGGATTAGGTGAATTAGTTTGTTCAAGACCAGTTATTTCTGTTTGAATAATTGTTGTTAATTTACGTCGTTTTCTCCAAATATTTCTTAAATTTTCATTGGAATCTTCATTTTCAAAATCACCATCATCATCAACTGATGATCGAGATTTTTTTCTACTTATATCATCATCATCTGAACCCATGTTACTTTCAGTATCAATTGATGACATTTTATCATATTCTAATATGTCACTATCAGTCGCTGGTGATGACATCGATAAAGAATCTATAAAAATAAATATAAAAAATTTAATTATAATTTATTTAAAAACAGATTCTTTTTGATTTTATTGGAAACATTTTAAAAATGAAAATAATTTATTGATTTCAATCGAATATTTTAAAACTAATGGCATCTCCTGTACGAAAATGTTTTCTTCTAAATATGTTTTTTTTAAACACGATGTAAAAGGAATGTTGATATGTGGATAGAACTTTAGGTCTTCTCATTGACATGATAGAGACGATCGAAAACATTGATCACAGACCGTGACGGACGTGTTAGAAATGCTTCTCCTTCCTTCATGTCACAGACCTTGATATACAATCATAGAGTGTATATCAATAACGTCATATTCTAATATATGGTTTAGTTCTTTATTGTATTTCTAGAGCATAAAATGAAAAAAATGTGTTTCAAAATAGATACAATAAAATAATCTGTCTCTGAATAGCAATAGCAAATACATCATCCCTTATATTCTTATCTCAAAGAGATTGCATTAACAACTTTTATACTATAAATGATTTTTTTGGTTAACCAGCGATATTCTAGATCTATTATTGATTGATTTGAAGGACAAAAAATAATTTTCAGAAGGATGATTAGTAAAAACAAAACTCTGAAGTCAAAAAAACTTTTTATTATAAAATAAGCGAAACTATTTCGATATATTTATGAGTGACATATTTATAGCATAATGATTCGTCTGAAGCAATACTCGGAATAAACCACTCGGTCTAACGATATTTTTCCTTGAAGTTAGATGATGAAAAAGTGGTCTAATTTTGAAGTTGCATCTAAATCTATTAGCTCGATGTGAAATGAATAAATAAAACATTCGAAAAAAGAATTCTTTATTCTATCATGTAGAAGTTTGATTTAATTTAATCAAAAACTTTGTATAACAATATATTACAAATTGTACTGAATAAAATCATAGAAAATTGATTAATACTTACTCATTTTTTCTGATGTTGATTTAGACAATATTTCTGGTTTGATAGTAACTTCTTGAACAAGTGGATTAACACTTGATGTTGCCATAACTTTTTGTATAATTTCAGCATGTGCTAAACTTAATGTACGTATATTAACAATTTGAAGTAAAAGTTTTGGATAAATATTTTCTGTATGTTCAATACCATAACGCCAATACATATATTTTTGTATAAGTGTAACATATTTTATTTGTAAAGATTTAACTAAATCAAGATCATTTATATTTGAACGATCAGGTGAAAATAATATAACTGGTGCTAATAATGTTGATGTTACTTCATCAACTTCTAAATTACACATTGATATTAAAAAATTTCTTGTTAAATTAAATAATTCTTCTCCCCATAATTTTTTAAGTAATGGATCAAGTGGCATAATTTGTTCATCCATAACAGCACGTTGATCACGTGATAAATAATTTGTAAATGTATGTGTTTTATGATTAAATAATGTATTTGATGAACAAACCATTATTTCAATTGCTGAACCTTTAAGTAAACTAACTTTATCATCTTCAGAAAATCGATCAAAATCTTTAAGCATTCGTGCAAATAAAACGAGACGTTGAATTGGTACAATAAGAAAATTAGCCGATGGACTTGGAGGTTTTTCACCTGACGTTGATGGTGGCGTTGGTGGTGGTGCTGGTCCTGATGATAATGACCTTAGATATTCATTTAATCGAGTTGGAAATTGTAATGGATATGTTCTACAAGGAAAATATATTCATTTATTTAATGTCAAAATTCTTGTTATTTTTATCTAGTGGACTTTGTACTTGTTAAACTTTCTCGAGAACGATAGAGCAGGAACGAAAAAAAATATGAATGATCCGTTGTTTTTTTTCTTCTTTTTACAATAAAACGTACTGAAAAACCTTTTGGTTTTATTCTATTGAAATTAATCTTACGCTCTTGATTGATATAATGCATGTGCTATATCTTCAATTAGTAATTTTTCTTCATTTGTTAAATATTTGTAAATATCAGGATCTTCCTCCGCTGTACGCGTTTCTCGAAAACGTTTACGTCTTGAACCATATTTTTCTTCTCGCTCTTGATCCGATAAAACCCTATTTATATTAATTTAGCTATTATTTAACAAAAAAAAAAAAGATCTTATTTCAAATTCTTACCATTTCGGTTTCATACCAATTGTTGTACATTTTGTATAACGACAAAATTGACATACTTTACGTGTTACTATGTTTACCGGACATCGTGCTAAAGAATAAATAAATAAATAAACCAATTTGTTAAAGTATAAACGATTACTCGATTTCTATTTTTCTTTTCTACTACAAAGAAATAATAAAGTAGAGTAAAACGTTTTCTCAGACAGATGACTGATATAGTAAAAATAAAGCTTTTGTTGAAGAAAAAAATATTCTAGATTTACTTCCGTCGATTTATATTTTTTTAAAAGGAAGGCTAGAATATTCGGATACGCCCTATCAACTAAGTTTTGGCCACCCATGCCTTATCATTATCATGCAATGAGGTTATTCAA